CCACCATATAAGGGGCTCAAAATTAGAAGGAGCAATCATTTGAGAAGATTCTGTTGAGAAAAGGGTCTCAAACTTGAGTGAGCATTGGAATCATCTGCAGGCTTGCACAGATTGCTGGACCCCACCCTCAAAATCCCTAATTAAGCAGGTCTGGGGTGGGGTGAACAGGCTCCCAGGTGATGCTGATATTATACATAGAGGGGCAATGATAGAGGGTATTCAAGCATCAAATGGAAATTATCTTTAAGTTCTTGGTCACCTCTGGAATGTCATGCTCCTATGAGCTTTTGAGGGGAATACTACTGAAATTTGGGTTTTCTCCTGAAACTTTTTCCAGCCTTCCCCATTTCAGTAAATGGCTCTTCACCATTGCTTAAGACAGAAACCTTGACATTGCTGTCAATTTCCCCCTGATTCCACCCACCTCACAGTCCATGAACCCTAGACATCTCCTCTCCAAGCCATGACCCAATCTATCTCTTTGTCTCCACTGTCACTACCTAGTTCAGGCATTCAACGGATTGTTAATGGGCACCTATGTCCCCCATGCACTTCCCGGAACTGTGGTCTCGTGCTTACAGGTTTGATCTCAATTGATGTCACCAGAGCAGTCTGATCACCAAGGGCAAAAGAATGTGAGTGGGTCACAGCTAGTTCTCTTCCACCATGAGTGAATAGCTCAGAATATTATGATTCTGGTACATAAAGGACAATAACTGTATCATCATCAACATCATCATCATTGCCATCATCATCATCATCATCGTCATTATCTATCTCCAGAGTGGGCCCACATTTCTGCAATATTTTAGGCTTTGCAGGTTGTATGATCTCTGTTGTAGCACAGAAGCAGCCATTCAACAAATGGGCCTGGTTAGTGTCCCAATAAAGCTTTATTTACAAAAACATTTGGTGGGCCAGACCTGGCCTGCCTATAGGCCTTACTTTGCCTGCCCTTGTCCTGGACTATCACTAAATCTCCTTCCAGGCCCACCTGCCTCCTTCCTTACCCTCCTCCTATCCTTTCCCTACAAAGCAGACAAGGTGGTCTTTCAAACTGTGAACCAAATTACATCACTCTCTTGCACAAAGCCATCCAATGGCTTTTAGCCCTAGAATAAAATCCAAAGCCCCCTGTGGCATCTGCCTGTGTTTCCAGCCCCTTCTTGAGACATTCTCCAACTTCTTCACTAGGTTCCAGCTGCACTGGCTTTCTTTCCCGGTCCCTGGATACTCCAAGCTCTTTTCCACATGCGCGGCTTCACTCAGCTTCTTCTTTCTGCCTGGAATGGTCTTTACTGTCCTCTCGGTGTGGCTAGTTATTCTTAGCCTTCACGTCTCCTCTTTAGAGGGACCTCCATCCAGAAATTCTGCCCTTTTCTCCATTTCCAGTGATGCCTATACAAGCACTCTTTCCCTATCACTGTCCTGTCACTTAACTGGTCATGTGACTTGCCTGTCCAGTGCTCAGGCAAGTCCTCTCCCTGAGGGCAGGAACTACCTCTGCTCCACCCAGCACCTGGCATACAATAGGCACTTCTTATCACCTAATGACTGAGTGAGTGGGTGTGTAGAGATTCTTTCCTGGAAGCAAGAAGGTATTTTTCATTCTAGGAAGGGTTCGGTAACAGCTGCCATGTGCCATGTCATATCCTGAGCCTGGCAAGAGAGCTGGGAGGTGTTGGAGATGTTGGGTCTGCACCCAGGAAGACTGAATCCATACGAATGCTATAAGCTGTGGGCAGTAAGAGTCCTGGGAGGGAAAAGTCAGGGAAATATGGGCTGTAGCACAGCACAGGGGCCTGGGAAACAGGGGCCTTTCCTTGACACCACACACCTGACACCGTAATGCACCTTCCAAAGACTGAGCATACCTTCCCAATGGAATGTTGCAAAGTTCTTAGGGAGGTTGAGTTGAGAGGGGCTATAAATGTTGCAAGTATGAATTAGCTACTGTGACACAGAGCCACAGTCCTATTTTGTCAACCATAACACAAAAATCAGGCATTTTTTTCCAGTTAAGATTAAAAAAAACCAAACCCTCAAAGTTAAGCCCTGAGCGTCATCACTGCCAGATCACATTGTGTACCTCTCTCCTGATCCCTGCTTTTCCTGCTTTTCCTTTGGATGCTTCAGGCTATAGGAACCTAAGACAGCTTCCCTGGGGAAGTAGCACTTGAACTTAACCAGTGGAGGAGATGGGGGCAGGTATATCAACTAGGAAATAGAATGATCTCCTCCATAAGAAGTCCCAACTTGGGGGATGATGAGCCCTCGATTCAAGGCCTGGCTGGAAAGCAGTGTAAACACTTTACAGAGCTTGTGTTCAGTGATTAGCACATTTGAATCTCAGTCTCCCTTGAGAGTTGAATCTCAAGTTCCCAGGAGACAGACTTGTGTACCTGGACTGAGAAAAGGGGCCAATGGCAGTGCCATATTGGACAGCAATGCCGGAGACCCAAGGGGAGAGAGAGGAGCTCAAGCAGGAGAATGAGGAGGGCATCTGGAGAAGCAGGAACAGAATTAGCCTAATGTTTTAAGGAGAGAGTGGTTCGCTGGTGTCAAATCCTACAGAGGTCAAGTAAGATAAGGACAGAAACAAAGACATTGGAGGGTATTGATGACTTTGGGGGCAGCAAAATCGTCACTGGATTGGGTGTTGGGGGAGAAAGCCAGATGGAGGGTGGTGGCAGCTGAGGAGGCAGAGACAATGTCTCTGACCGTAATCACCCTGTTTTCCTATGATGTGTCCCTATTTCTGCAGGGAGCCCTGGACCAGCCATCTGGAGTCTGGGTTCCAGTCCTGGCCTTGCTCCTGGCTGCACTGATGATGCTAGATCTGCAAAGTCTCTTCCATTTTCTCTGCTCTGCTGTTCTAGGGAGGCTGGGAGTGAATGGCATTGTGCAGACAGACAACTCGTGGAATGGTGGAGAGCAAGGATAAATATTTGTTGTCCACAGGAAGCCGTGAGCTGTCACTTCAGGTGGAAGGCCATCTGGGATGAGGGGTCTAGCTACCGGCACTAACAGGGCAGGTGCTGGGATGGGGAAAGGGCTCTGCTCCAACAAGCCCCATTGTGATTTCAGCAGGTGACAGGTGGCAGGTGCTACCCATCCTGAGAGGCATCAGGTGCTCGAGAAGATGCGATCTTCAAGATGACCTGCATTGTAGGAGCTGAGGCTTATTAGGAGTGTCTAAGTTAACTCACAGGTTGGACAAGTCAGGAAAGAGGCTCTGAGAACTAAGTAGGAGATCAAGGTTAAGGGTTTGAGTTCCTTGGAGGGAGAAGGTGTGGGATCAGATGGGGCAGTGAGAGGCAGCAATAAGGAAGAGGGCAGTAAGAAGGCCAGACTTGCTCTGCCCATCCAGACCTCTGAAAGTGGTCTAACTGGGCTAGTCCCTTTTGGGGAGCCCAATGTACTACCATCTCTGCTTACAGAACAGATGGGTGAAGGGCTGGGCTAGAAGCAGGATATTACATGCCCCATATTACATTTTGATTGTCCATGATTTCCTGAGACCTGGTCAGTTCTAGCAAATGAAACCCACTGTGACCTTGAAACCTGACTAAGCCGATGAGCATCCAAAAGATCCCTGGTCAGAGCAGATGCAGAAGGAGACGGAACTCTGAACAACAAGCTGTTGAGAAGAAACTTCAGATAAAGTCAGAGGCTAAAAATATTTACAAGAGTAAAATCACGTTCTAACCTTTTCAAAGCCAACTGCCTTATGTATATTTAAATAAATATTTAAATTAATGTATGTAAATCTAGAAGTTCTAGATATAGACATTTCTCTTTCAATTATTCTCTATCCTTTTGTAAATAAAGGTGTGTTAGCCTCATAACTTTGGAAGATATCTGTCTTAAGACAATGGAAGTACTGTTGCATCTGTGGTAATAGCATATTAAAGGATTGATCATTTTAGTGGATGACTCACTTTCTCCCAAGGTCTTCCCAACAGTGTGGCTCCTTATTGCTCTGAAAACTCCTGTTTCTCTTTTAATGGTCCCCTCAAATTTGCTTCCTCTACCAGCCTTGTTCTTTGCTTTTCCATCACTACCAGAATAAATCATATCCCTCTCAGGGTGCCTGAGTGGCTCAGTTGGTCTAGTGTCTGACTCTTGATTTTGGCTCGGGTCATGATCCCAGGCTCATGGGATTGAGTCCCACTTCAGACTCTGTGCTGAGCATGGAGCCTGCTTAAGACTCTCTCTTGGGGTGCCTGGGTGGCTCAGTCAGTAAAGTGTCTGACACTTGGTTTCAGCTCAGGTCACGATATCATAGTATGTGGGTTCGAGCCCCACTCTCAGTGTGGAACCTGCTTGGGATTCTCTCTTTCCCTCTTTCTCTGCCCCTACCCCACTTGGTCTTTCTATCTCTTTCTCAAAATAAATAAATAAACTTTAAGAAAAGCTCTTTCTCCCTCTCCTTCTGCCACTCTCTCCCAGCTCACACGTGCTCTCTCTCTAAAATAAAATAAGATAAAATAAAATAAATCCTATTTCTCTGCTGTGTCTCTGTGTGTCCCCATATTCTGTCCTGTGTTAGGGAAAATTGCATGTTGTCCTCCCTGTGAGGCCAGAAGTCCCTTGAGGTAAGGGATTTTGTTGTGTTCCCCAGTGTTAAGCCTCCTTGAACATACCAAATGCGCAGGACATATTTAATCAGCAAATGAATGATTGTAAGAATGAAGGTTGGGTTGTCTAGACATTTGCTCTTCCAATGATGAGCTCACATGGGTAAGCACACAAGGCCCCAGGCAGCGATGCTCTGGGGAGGATCTCATTATTAAAATCCACTTTAAATTTCGGTCTCTTTTTTAATAGACTTACTGCACGATTTACCAGGCCAAATTGAATGAAGTTAGGATGCATGCAGTTAGAGAGGCATTTCCCTTACATTGTCAGGAAAGGAGGATCCTGGGTTTCAGAAGCCCATAAGGGGGAGGTCTTCTTTTGGTCTCAGTGAAGGATGCTTCTAGAAGCTTTGGCTTTGCTTATCTGGAGCTCTGGACCTCGTTGGAATAAGTTGGTGGCAAGTTCACCGGTTCTGGGACAACCACTGGGTTTGTCATATAGACATTTGGGAGGACCACGCCCACCTGGAAAACAAAGGCACACGGGGCGGGGGGGGGGGGGGCACTGGGAGGAGGGCAAGAAGGACCAGGCAGCCACGGAGGCCTTTGGGCACTGGGAAACTTCTCTGCTCCTGGGCAGGAAGGGAAAGCATGGCCACTCTGTCATCTCCACCCTCTTCAGGGCAGCTTCCCACCCACCCACGAGCCTCTGACTCACGTTGTGCTGACAGCAGACCACTTGGCAGCCCAGGTGGGAAGATGCACATGCCACACAGAACTCTAGGAGACAGAAGATAAGCAGCACACCCGAAATCGCCACTCCGGGGGTCTGGAACCAGAGCCAGGGGCGGTCAGGAGTGCTGGCCTGGGTGTTCCAAGTGTGGTTCTGCCATGGGCTGTCTCTGTGGCTTTGAGGAAGCCCCCTAACCTCGTCTCAGCCTTGTGGGGACAATGGGACTCACTGGGCTTGTGTGACAGTCAAGGTGTGTGTACCAGAACTGGTACTTTGACACTTGCTACAGTGCTCCTCTAGAGGGAAGGATGGTCATCCTTTAGGAAAACACCTCAGTCATGTGAGTGGGAGAGGATGGGCCACTGCGCAGATGGAGAGACAGCACCTACACGGACTCATCTGCAGCTGCACTCACCCACCCATCCTGCAGCCACAGGCCTGTAGCCACGAGTCCCATTTGGCTGTTGAGCACTTGGGATGTGGCTGGTCCCAAAGTGACGTGTGGTCTAAGTGCAGAATACACACTGGGTTTCAAAGACCGAGTAGCCAAAGTGCAAAATAGCAAATTAATGTATTTTTTTGGGTATGGATTACATGTTGAAATGACATTTTGGATATATTGGGTTAAAGAAAATATAAAGATTATATATTATAATATATATATAATATATATAAAAATAAAATATTAAGATATTTTCACTTGTTTCTTTTTCTTCTTTTTTTTAAGGTGGCAACTAGAAAATTTAAAATCACATACACAGCTCACATTATATTTCTACTGGGCAGCCCTCGTCCATAGCACAGGTTGGTAAATTATGGTCCGTGGGCCAACTCCTGGCTGCTGCCTACTTTTGTAAATAAAGTTTTATCAGAACACAGTCATGTTCATTGTGCAGGGTTGAGTAGCTGCAACAGAAACCAAATGGCTGGGTGCCTGGGTGGCTCAGTTCGTTTAGCATCTGACTCTTGATTTAGGCTCAGGTCATGATTTCATGGTGTTAAGATCTAGCCCCACATTGGGCTCTGTGACACCTTGGGATTCTCTCTCTTTCTCTCTCTCTCTCTCTCAATAAACAAACATGAAAAAAAAAGAGAGAGAGAGAGAGACCAGATGGCTTGCAAAGCCTTAAGTATTTATTCTCTGGCCTTTTACAGAAAACCTTCGCTGACCCCTTGTCCACAGTCATAGGCAGCAAGATGAGAACGCGATCAATGGTGTAGGTAGAGGCACATGTGTCTTACTGTTGCATTTACTTCTCCCAATAATGTCATAAGGTAGGTTACTATTTCTTAAAGGCAGAAACTAAGACTAAGGAAAGTCAAGTGCTTAAAGTAATACAGCAGTAAAGCTACATGTCGGGGACTTTAAACTCTGTTCTGATTCATGATAGTACTTCCTTCAGGCCTTCTAAAAATTTTCTAAATGTAGCCAAGTCAGAACCCGGGGGCAGGTGTTGGTTCAGAGGGGTACTCACCACACCCCAGGTGTCATAGTGGGGATAATAGTCAGGGCGGGCATCGATGGTGGAGAGGCTCATATCCATGATGAAGAGTGTGATTCCAACCACAGAGCAGATTGCGCTGACGATGTTCAAGCCCAAACTGCTATTCAGCTGAAGAAGATACAGAGGGTCAATGTGGGAGAGGAAAATCATTGTAGTTGAGATGAACAGAGCCTCAAGCTTTTTAATGTGAATCTCCGAAACCTTAGTTCTGTAGCTAGTAAAGAGATGCTCTGTGCTAGAAAGTGTGGGGGTAAATTAGCTTTGAAAAACAGCTGGGCTGAACGAAGTTAAGCTGGAGGGCTTCTCAGAGCCTTTAACAAGGATCATGGCTCTTGCAGAGAGGAGCCTACTAAATCGAAATTTCCCTGGGTTTACCTACCAATCTTCACAGAGCATCTCAAGGGACAAGCATCCCCAGGAATAATCTTTGGGAAACACTCAACTTGCTTATCCCATAGGGGATGGGTAGGAAGCTCTGTCATGGGATGTGACAGGAGCTGATGTTTGAGGATTCTGGGCTGCGTGCAGAAAGACATGCTCAGAATTTTGAGCTTCCCATTGGAGATTTTCATACAGATCACATGTGGCACAGGGACCTGGCCATCCTGAGGCCCCTCACCCTAGACAACCTGCCATGAGAGAAACAAGGTACTTTCTTGGTCCATTGCTAGGGGGCCTCAGAGCCTCATTCATGGAATTGGCAAGAGCTCCCTTGGCCGGATTCCTGAGGGAAGCAGGTGGCTGAGCCTCCTGTGGCTTCCCTGCAGAATTGGCCAGAGGCCTGCTCAGTGTGCCACGGCCACTGGCAGTGTCCGCTCTGTTGCAGGGGAGCCTGGCCTCCTAGGAGCTTTGAGCTTTCTCCTGCATGAGTCTGCCAGAGATGGACACTTTCTGTCTCCGCCTCCACACTCTGATGACTTCACTCAGGGCTGTGTTGCTCTTCTTTCCCCTGAATCCTCTGGACTCCTTCCTACCATGACTGCAGCCAGGTTCATGTGGTTCTGCGTGTGAGTATGAGTGAGCACGTGTGGCAGCACCTGTATCTGGTTAGAAGTAAGTGCAAGGAGGGGCATCTGGGTGGCTCAGGTGGTTTAGCGTCTTACGCTTGGTTTTGGCTCAGGTCATGATCTCACAGTTTGTGAGATCGAGCCCCGAGTTGGGCTTTGTGCTGACAGTGTGGAGCCTGCTTGGGATTCTCTCTCTCTCCCTCTCTCTCTGCTCCTCCTCCCCACTCTCGCTCTCTCTCAAAATATATAAATAAACTTAAAAAAAAAAAGCCTTATAAAAAGGAAGTAAGTGCAAGGATGAGGGAGGGATTGTGTGCTAACCTTTCCCCCCATGTGGGTCTCCCTCCCATAGGTCTCTGCTGGGAGAGCCTGGGTCAGGAGGTAACTTACCAGGTGAGAAGATTTTGGCTGATTTTCTGCTGATACTGAGAGGGATCCTGAAACGATGAACTGGCACAGAAGAGTGGGGGTTTAGAAAGAGGTCAGAGGCTAGGGCCCCATCTCCAGGTTTCCATGATTCTGGCCACATGTATTCTCTCATGCACACTAGGTTCCTCTGCTGGGATGTCCAACTCAATATGGGGGAAAAGAAGGAAGGAAGAAAGGAAGGAAAGAATAAGGGAGGGAATGAAGGAAAGAAAGAATGAGGGAGGGGAGGAAGGAAGAAAGAAAAGGAAGAAGGGGGGAGGGAAGGAAAGAAGGAAGGGAAGAAGGAAGGAGGGAAGGGAGGGAGCAAGGTAGGAAAAGAAAGAAAGGAAAGAAAGAAAGGAGAGAGAGAAAGAAAGAAAGACAGAAAGAAAGAAAAAAGAAAGAAAGAAGAAAAGAAAGGAGGGAAGAAGGGAGAGAGGAAGGGTCAAAGGAAGGAAGAGTGAGCTCTCTTGTACCATATGACAAGGCAGTGAAGTGAGATAAACAGATTTTACGACCGAGCTGACCTGGTTTTAAGTTCGAGCTTGAAACTCATGTGATCTGGGTAAGTGATTAATTTCTTGGAGTCTTTATTTCCTCATCTGAACAGTGAGAAAAACTACACGTCTTCCTAAAGGTTACTGACAGGAGCTGATCTATGCCTGGCATCGGTCATTTGGCATTATCTTGCACATAGAAGATCCTGTGTGTAGTAGATGTGCAATAAGTATTACGTCTTTCCTTGTCCTTTATTTTCCCACAGGCACATCTTGTTGGCTTGCCATCCTTACCTTGGGATTCATTAGGCTTGGGGGTTTTGAAAGGAAGAAGAAAGGGGTTACCAGCATCCCCATTGCTTTGAGATAGAAGCCCAGCCTTATCTGGGTGAGTACCTTTCAGTTATTCAGAAGGATGTTGCATCTCTATGATGCTCCACATCAAACATGAAGATAGGGAGGTAGATTGTGTGGATTTATTTCAACACTGGTATTCTGCATTCTAGTAGATGATGGGCGTACTTGCTGTCATGAGCCCAGTGTGATGGTAACCATTGTCTGAGAGGGAGGGCATCAGCTATGGTTTAACAAAAGCCTTGCTGAGTACTTACTATGTGAAGTGCTTTTCAAACCTTGCCTTATTTGACTGCACGATGGCCCATCCAGCACCATTTTTATTCTCAGTTTACAGGTGGGCAGGCTGAGGCTTGCAGATTTTAAATAACTCACCCAAGGCCATCCAGCAAATAACAGAGCTGGGAATCAAGTCCAGATAGTTGACGCCAGACTCCATGGTCTTAGCCCTTCCCCCACCACAGACCCTCCCACCACTCAGGGTAGATGTGTGTGCCTTGGGGTGGAAATGGTTTTACAATGAAAAGTTACTCTAGCTTCCTATGCCTATAGGTGGAAAAAGAAATTTCAGTCTTACGACCTTCTGTTTATAGAGACTTGATGGGGAGAGAAGAGAACAAGAGGCTGGCCTTCTGAGGTCTCTGCTGGTCCTTTTAAGGTGCCAAAGCAGATGGGCCTTTGTTCTGGAAGAGGACATTAATGATCTTTAGGAAATACATAGCCTTGGACAAGGCAACCAAGAACACAACTGCTTTGTGGGGGTGGGGTGAGGGGTGAGGGGCGTGGGGGGTGGGCGGGCTGTCAGGAGAGTTTAGCAACCTGGCAGAAGGGGAGATGCAGGGCAACCACAGGGCACTTAAGATTATTCAATAGCATCCGATGCTCAAGAGTCAGCCATTCTGTGGCTGTGATGTTAGCCTCTCCATTGCCCCAAACGCCATTAAAATTGTTTATACAGACACAGGGCTGGGGGGAGGGACAGGGGCTGAGTTCCAAGTCTGGGTCCATGCAAAGCAGAGAGAAGACCATGGCCTCAGGAAATGAGACCCAGATGGTAGCAAAATAGAGCAGGTATTCACGGAGAGGTGCTCCAGAGAACACAAGCCTTACCACGTTGCATGTGTTGTGGGGGTGAGGGTGGAGGATAACACTAGGCTATTGTATTTAAATCTCACGGGATAAGAAGGACTTTGGTTAATTATCTAAGGTTACTCAGGAGTTTTGCTATTTGTGAGAAAAGTTGCATTTGAATCATAGATAGGTGTGTGAGTCCAGAGCCGAGAGACTGTGTAATGGCAGAGAGAAAAAGGAGGCGGGAGGGAGGATGGGGAGGAGAAGGAAGGGGTGTATGTGTGTGTGTGTGTGTGTGTGTGTGTGTGTGTGTAGCTAAGAAGACACTAGAGAGAATGCAAAAGAATCAAAAAGGCAGGAAATTGGAGAAGATAAAGGACTTGTAGTTCTTAACCTTTTATGGAGTCGTAGATCACCCTGAGAATCTGATGAAAGCTATACAGTTTTCCAGAAAAAAATTACACACTATCATGTCAAATATCTTACCACAGTGGGAACACTGAATCCCATCCAAGCACCTAGGTTGAGTCCCCATTGCTTAATGACTGTTCTGTGTCTGGGCAGTCACTCTCAAACATGGGTGGAAATGTCTTTTCTCCTGGAGCTCAGGCTGTGGGCCTAAGTTGAACAACTCTCGAGGGCTATTACCAATATCTTTTTTTACACAAGGGCATTGTTGTGTGAATTGGAAAAAGGTGCCACCCCTCAGCTGATGAATGAGAAGAAAGTTGGCTGATCCATGGCGTGAGGAAATTAGAAAAGGTGCCCACTCTGGGTGAACAGCATCTTGTAGGGCTGTCACTTGGTGTTATGGCTGAATCGTGTCCCCTCAAAATTCATCTGTTGAAGTCCTAACCCCCAAGTACCACAGAATATGACTGTCTCTGGAGAGGGGGCCTTTAAAGAGGTGACTAAGTTTCAGTGAGATCATTAGGGTGGCCCTAATTCAATGTGAATGGTGTTCTTATGTGAGGAGGGGATTAGGGCACAGACACATCGAGGCCATGTGAAGACATGGGCAGAAGGTGGCCATCTGCAAGCCAAGGAGAGAGTCCTCAGAGCAAACAACCCTGCAGCCATCTTGATTGTGGCCTTCCAGCCTCCAGAACTGTGAAGTAATAAACTTCCTTTGTGGAAGCCGCCTGGTCTGTGCCCATTCGTCACAGCAACCCAAACAACCAGCATGCTTGAGTCGGATTCTTGCCCTGCGTGCTCCCTTGGCTGTAGGGTGGAAGCCACACAGCTTGACAAGGTGGCCCTGAGTGTGCTGGCACTTTCCGAAAACTCATTTGCTTACCTACGTTACTCATGTCACTTACCCAGATGCCCCCCCAGAAGGGAAAGCCTCCATAGAACGAGATTGCTGTAAAGCGCCCCGGAAGGACTGTGGCCATGATGGAGCCGAGGCCTATGTGGATCAGGCCAATCAGGATCTGGACGGCCTGTCAGGAGAGCCGCAAGCTGAAGCCTCGTTGCTGAGGCTGGACCCTGCCTTCCCTTTGCGCCTCCTTTTTACTGTAATACATCTTTTGTTTTCCTGGTCTAACAAGTAATATGAAAACTTTAGGAATGAAATGAAACCTTCCCCTTTACTCAGAGGAAACACCCCACTTACATTTTGGTATCTAGCCTCCTGTTATTCTTTTTAAATATATATTCTGATAACACAATATGACTCTGCACACTGAATATTTTATCAGGAACACACACATCCCCACGGCAGTAAATGTTCTTCAAACATAGTTTTTAAAAGGCCGCCTGATTCCATCACAGGATGTTTTGTGGAGTAGTTGGAACAGAGAACTTGACCGGGTAATAGTATTCCTGTCTCTTTTCTATTATAAATACCACTGTTATGAACATCCTTGTAGATAAATCTTTGTGTTCATCTCTTATTTCTTTAGGATGTTTTTTAGGGATTGAATTGTGGCTGCCTCCCCCCCTCCAAACTAATATATTGGAATTCTACCCCTCCATTACCTGAGAAGGTGACCTTATTTGGAAATAGGGTGGTTGTGGATGTATTTAGGTAATACTGGAGTGGGGTGGGCGCCTCATCCTACGTGATTGGGGTAGGATATGAAGAAGGACACAAGCGCACAGGAGAATTCCATGTGTGCCAAGATTGGCACTGTGCTGACCCAAGCCAAGGAGCTACCAGAAGCTGGGAAAGACCTTCCCCTGCCGCCCTCGCAGGGAGCATGGCCCTGGGGACAACCTGATGGTGAATTTTTGCCCTGCACAACCGTGAGAAAATTTCTGTTGTTCAAAGCCACCCAGTTTGTGTTACTCTGTTATGGGAGCCCTAGGAAACTAATATAGACATATTCCTGCACATGTGGTATATAGACATATACGTAGATATATTAGGTATGTATATGTCTCTGTGTATATACTACAAATATGGCGGCAAATACGAATGTATTATTTCCTTAAATTTGTACAAATGGTAACAGACTGTACACAGACTGTTTTTTCTTTCCGTCAGGGATATATCCTGGGCTAGGTCCATCTCATTACGCAAAGCGCTTCCTTGTTCTTTTTATAGCTGCAGTACATTCCATTTTTTGAATAATTGATTTAACCGGTGTTATGTTGGTGGATATTTTGGCTTGTTCCCATTCTGTTTTCCACACAAACTGTGCTGCAGTTACTCAGCCACATTGCATTTCTCATGTGCACGGGCTCATCCGCAGGAAAGTCTCAGAAATGGAATTATTGGTTATTTTGCAAATTTGCCAGGTACAATCGCCCTCCATACAGACTGCATCGACTGACCCTCCCATGAGGCTTTGAGCTCATGCTGCCTGGGGCCGGAATCCATGCTTGTCACCTTTCAACTGTGCAAGGAAATGCCTCTCCTGGTCCTGCCCAGGATGGCCTTGCAGGGGGAAAACCTTTGTGAAGTGTTATTTTGTTGGCTGTCTAACCTGACATTCCCCTCCCCCCCATCAATGGCCAAAGATTCCATTCAAGAACGCTGGGTTTAGGCTCCACCTAGTGGCTTGACACACCCACTTTCTTCCAGAGGCCACAAGGATCAACAGGGACCCTGGCAACAAGACCAACTTTCCAGTTTACTGCTTTTTTTGTCACGTTGCTTCCTCTTTCTTAAAATGCCTAAGGCAGAAATTACAAGGCCGCATACTGAGACCCCAGGGATGTTGCACAACTGAGATTTCTAGTAGATCTGGGTCTGGCAAGGCTGGCTCAGCTTATCCCGCCTCCTGGATTTGAAGTTTCTGGATTTCCAAGCCTTCCCCTTTGTCTGACTCCAGCCAGTGACCCCTGGCCTGCAGAGTGGAAGCTCACTTACCCCTAAGGCTTTGCCCTCTTTCAAGGTTCTCCGGGCAGGATGCTCAATCACAGATGACTTCAGACCAGGTGGGCTCACAGGAATGAGGTGGACTTGGGGCTGGTTGCTGGGATACAGGGGCACCTGACACATACCTCCCTGGATCTCAGAGTACCTGTCGTGGGGTGCCGCCACAAACATGGAATTGGCCACGGGTCCTGCTGAAGCCATCGGGTTCCTGCTGCTAAAGAATAAACGTGATGGGGCGCCTGGGTGGCTCAGTGGGTTAAGCTGAGTTCACTGACTCTAACCAGAAGTGGGTTAACTGACTTCAGCTTAGATCATGATCATGATCTTATGGTATGTGAGTTTGAGCCCTGCATCTAGCACCACATCCGGATTCTCTCTCTCTCCCTCTCTCTCAGCCCCTTCCCCATTTGTGCATGCGTGCTCTCTCTCTCTCTCAAAATAGCAAACTTAAAAAAAAGACATGTGATAGACTCATCTTTAAACATTTTTTAAAAACGTATTTATGTATTTTTGAGAGAGAAAGAGAGACAGAGTGCAAGTGGGGGAGGGGCAGGGAGAGAGGGAGAACAGAATCCGAAGCAGCCTCGAGGCTCTGAGAAGTCAGCACAGAGCCTGATGCAGTGCACGGATCTCGAACTTCCAAACCATGAGATCATGACCTGAGTCAAAGTTGGACGCTTACCTCACTGAGCCACCCCAGAACCCCTAGATTCTTCTTTCACATAAGCACTAATGTTTACATTGAAAAAGGACTTTTGCCTCCAGTAGCTCATTTGAGCATCTTAACCATTTATGAATGTATTAATCCTATATTAAAGATAATATCATGTACCAGTTATGGGGCACTTATATAAATGGCCAGGCAGTCAGTGCTTTCCAAACGCATTAACCTTAATCCTCACACCAGGCCAGCTTTATAGGTGAGAAAACTAAGGCTCAAAGAAGCTAAATGCTGCCAGAAGGCGAGAGCTGTGTCTTTCTCATTTTTGAATCACTTAGAGAGCTTTGCATAGAGTAATACCATCTGAGTACGAAACTTTAGAGGTGGAAAGTCTCTTGGAGAACACTGAGTCCAATTCTCTCAATTTCTAGAAAAGGATACTGAGGCTGGGAGAGTGGACATGAATTCCCCAAGGTCACAGTCACATAAATGTTGCTTAAATGGGGATCCTTCTCCTCAGGGGAAGTCCTATTGATAGGGCAGTGTATATTCATTGGATGTCCCATGCTGCTCAATTTTCTATTTTCTAGGCTACTTATAAATTCTGGTCTGGCTTTTAAAATTTCTTTCATTTTTTGGAGCAGACCCCAAAAAAGTTTATACAATAAACCCTGCTGCATGCTGCACCCCACACCCAGATTCATCATGTCTCATTTGGCAGAAAAATCTTACCCCCCTCCCCCACCATTAGCCATAAAAACCACTGGACGACGCATACTCACTTTGCTCTGTCAGCGGCTAAGTCTCTCTTGTACCTGTTCCCAATTCTTTGCTGTAGGCAACCTGATTTCCCGAGAGAGTGAACACACAGGGCTCTGTTGGGTGATATGTAGAAAGATCTAAAGTCCTTTTCAGTTTTCTCCTAGGTACAGGCCAGGTTACCACCTGCTTAGAGCTCAGCTTCTTCACCCCACCCTGCCCCCCCCCCCCTCCGTATTTGCTTCCTGTTTTGGTCAAAGAGCCAATTAAATGCAATTCAATTGGCCAAGTGTTTGAATGGTATCTGTGTGGAGAAGGGTTGTGCTTGGTGCTCTGGGAAATGCAGAGTGAGCTGGGCACTCAAGGATCATGTACATGGCTGTAACAGAAGACAGAATGACATAAACATTACAGTTATTACGGTTAGAGAAACAAGAGTCCCCAAAGGAGAAAAGAGGGGAAACTCATTTACTGGACTTGAAAACAGGGAAGACTTCAAACAGAAGGTGGAATTTTGAAGTCGTTAAATGGCATGAGAGAAGGAGAGTCACAGCATGTGAAATGAGGATTGCAATGAAGTTAAGTGTACTTTTGTTTAAGCCAGAGTCTGTAAGTCAGAAATGCCTGGGATGTATTCATGGTGTACATCGTGTGAATTGCACAGAAGTAATGTACAAGGACCACTGAACTAGACAATGAGTATCTTGATGGAATAGTTCATCATCACATTCACCTTTGTATTCCTACTGGCATATAATAATAGGGGTTCAGCAAATGCTTACTGAATGAACAAATGAGGTCGACAAGATGGCTAGAACTTTGTAAAATGGCCAATGGAAAGGACATTATTGCAGGCAGAGAGCATGGAGGGCAAAGGCATGAAAGAGAGAGGTGGAAGACATATTCTGGGGGTGGCTGAGAGGGCAGAAACTTTTTGTGGGAGAAAGACATCGAAAATCATGTGGATAAAAAGGTAGATGGAGCTAAACTTCATGACTTTCCTCATTTTTCTATCAGATTTCTGGACCCCAGTCCTTCCGTTTTTAAGAGTCCTTTACTTTATAGGGGCACCTGGGTGGCTCAGTCGGTTGAGCGTCTGACTTGGCTTGGGTTGTGATTTAATGGTTTGTGAGTTTGAGCCCCATATTAGGCTTGCTGCTGTCATTGCAGAGCCTGCTTCGGATGGATCCTCTGTCCCCCTCTCACTGCCCCTCCCTTGATTGCGCTGTCTCAAAAATAAATAAAATATTTAAAAAAAGAATCCTTTATACATTTTGGGATATTAACACATCATCTGGGATATCTTTACTCCAAGTTTGACCACTGTCTTTTGATTTTTATGGTGGCTTTTAATTGTGTGCACTTAAAAAATTTCTGTAGTGAGGCGCCTGGGTGGCTCAGTTGGTTAAGCATCTGACTTTGGCTCAGGTGATGATCTCATGGTTCTTGAGTTTGGGCCCCGCATCAGGCTCTAGGTTGATAGTGCAGAGCCTGCTTCAGATCCTCTGTCTCCTTCTCTGTGCCCCTCCCCAGCTTGCACTCTCTCTCCCTCTCTCAAAAATAAATAAACATTAAAGAAAATTTAAAAAATTATGTAGTAAAACTTATCAATCTTTTGTTACTGCTATACAGTGAATGTTTATACTCCCACTCTGCTCTCCAATTCATATGTTGAAATATAATTCTCTATGCAATGGTATTTGGAGAGGGGGTCTTTGGGAAGTGATGGGGGTGGAGCCCTCATGAATGCGATTAGTACTTCCTGTTCTTGTCATGTATGGGATTACTACCTTTCTAATCTCAGAGAGCTCACTAGCCCTTTCTGCCATGTCAAGACATAGTGGAATGACCATCTGTGAACCAGGAAATGGGTTCTCCCAAACACTAAATCTGCAGATGCCTTAATCTTGGACCTCCCAGACTCCAGAACCATGATAAATAAATGTTTACTGTTTAAACTACCCAGTTTATGGTATTTTTGTTACAACATCCCAAAAGAACCAGACAATTACCTATGGAGTTTAAGTCTTTGTTGGAAAGCCTTCCTTGGGGCTCCTGGGTGGTTCCAGCTCCTCTCAGTTAGTTAGGTTTTGGCTCTTGTCATGATCTCACTTTTTGTGGGTTTGAGTCCTGCATTGGACTCTGTGTTGACAATGAGGAGCCTGCTTGGGATTCTCTTTCTCTCTCTCTCTCTCTCTGCCCCTCCCGACTTGCACTCACACACACTCTCTCTCTCTCAAAATGGATAAATAAACTTAAAAAAAAAAAAAAAGAAAGCCTTCCCAAGACTAAGATTAAATAGGAATTCACTTGTATTTTCTGCTAGAACTTGGATGGTTTAATTTAAACAACAGCAATAACAATTCATAGATAATCCAAATAGGCTTTATTTTCCCCTCAGACAGTTTAGTGTTTTGTGTCAATGTATGTTTTACCTACCATAGTGCTTCCTTTCTCAAACTATTAATTTTTTTATGAATAATGCAGTATATGATTTAACTTTTTACATTTTCATTCCTAATACATTTAAGGTTTTGCTTATGTGTAGTATGAAATATGGATGTAATTTTATATTTTTCCAAAAGGCTACTTTGTTGTTCCATTACCATTTATTAGACAGTCTATCGTTGCTCTGGTGACGTGAAATATCATCCTTGTCATATGTTAAACTTCTATATGTATGTGGACCTAATTCTGGTCTTTCTCTTCTAGTCCACGGTTCTGTTTATCTGTATGTATGTTAATTCAAGCATTGTTTTAATTTTAAGCTTCATAGTATGTTTTAATGTCTGAAAGGTCTAGTTTCCCCTCATAGTATTTTCTTTTTCATTATTTTTCTGGCTATTTTTCTGGGTTTTTTTTCCATGTGAACTTTAGTATTAATTTGTAATACTTCCATAAAATAGCTTGCTAACTTTTTGAAAAGATGAATGACGTGAACACATTCATATTGAAGGAAGTACTAAGAGGCATCTGAATAGGAACATGTAAGTGCCTAAGCCCGAGTGTTTTGGGACCAGGCTTAACCAGATACTGGAGAAGACAGAATTGCCCACCTTTTTATTGAGTTTGTAGAAATAGCACCGACTTCCTAGAAGGAACTGGAGACATACAGGAGAGAGGATTGTTGTTCAAATCTACTATAGCAAATACTATTGATGTCCCATCCATATCCATTCTGGATATGGCCCATTCTGGAAGTCATCTTCAGACCGTTTCCATACCAACAGGTAATTCCTACCTCTCTTCTGAGCATGCTTGAGATGGAAGGCCGAAGGTTCTGGGAAGTTAACAACCCAGGAATTTTTCTTAACAAAGAAAAGCTGAGGAGTATTGATATATAATTACTCTGGCTTCTTTGACCCCTAGAGGGAAAATCCTGAAATATGTTTCATCTGTCTCTTAGAGAGTCCTCAGAAAGATGAACCCCTAGTTCCCTGTACCAGTAACCTCCTTATAATGCATACTTCCCTGACTTCTCTCTCTTCCTAAATCATTTTTCCATTATCTCACAGTAAGTCCTGAGATCACCTCCTGAATAAACTGCTAGCATCCAAATCCTTATGTTAGAGTCTGCCTTTGGGGAAACCAAAATAAGACACCCAGTGCCCTGAATTTTGAAATAACTGCCAAGAATAAGAGAATGTGAGACTCTAAAGACTAATATTGATTATGGAGGCTGTAGGTCTAGTGTAATCCTCCCCATCCCCCAAATGATGCTCACCTGAAGGCAGTGGGTAAGGAAAGATAGTGAATGAATTACCTTCCCCTACTTACCTAG